CACCGTCGTCGTCGTCGTCGTCGTCGTCGTCGTCATCGTCGTCGTCGTCGTTGTCGTCGTCATCATCGTCGTCGTTGTTCTTCTCTCTTCCAAATACGCCGACTGCGAGTATCGAATCACCTCGAGTCGCGATTCGGGAGCTAAGTCAAGCGGGATGATACGAAAAAAATGTGCGTCGTACCAATGTGGCTGATGAGGCTGAAATCGTGAGTATTACGTGTTATACGGCACACGATCCTATTCTCCGGAGCGGAGTCGCCGTCGCTGAAACGCCGCGTTACGAGGGTGCCCATCCCCGGTGGACGGCGGACGCTCTCGTATATTCGCTCGGATTGATCGGCGCTCCGACATTCTCTGTAATCCTAATCGCGCAATCCCGATAAACGCAGCATTTTATTTGCATGGATTTGTGAAATTTTCCATCTGCAACAGGCGATCGTGTTTCTGTGGCATTTGCGATTAAAATGAAACGCGTATATTAACAATTTTATACGGAAATTTTTGTTGTTTTGTTTAGATGCAATCGCTGGATTCTGTTCATATGTAGCATCCATAATTAGCAATTACACATTTAATTAATGTCGCTGCAAATCGACGTTTCGTATCGCAGCTTACGTTCGTTTTGTGCCGCAGTACTTACGTAAAACATTCAACAGACGTTCTAAATGGAAGAAAACAGAACAAATTTAATGTTATATTTCTAATTGATATTTTGCGCGTATGCCAAACTTTTAATTAGAAGAATTGCTACTGATCGTAAACGTCGTATTTACGCATTACTGACTGATTTCGTATACATATTCATTTACAGCCTCCCCGCTCCCCGCAATATTTGATTCGGTTGTTTAGCGGCAGCGCCAGTTTCAAAGACCAGTTTATCATCAATTTTTAGGTTCGACCTATAAGATAATCGCTTGACTTCTATCCTTCTATTTCAGTGATCGTCATTTTTTTTATTTATTATTAGAAAGGAATGAGACTACGAATTTTGCTGTCCGATCCCCAGCTCTCTGACCTCCATGCTTGACTCGTTTTGAATTTACATACTAATACACACTAGTACACACTAATACACTAAAAAAATACTCGAGGCCTTTATAATCCAGGCCATTTGAGTTAAAGAGTCTAATAAAATGGATGCTCGCGCGAATCCGTGTTTCGGGAGTGATGTCGAAAAAGCGAAATGTCAAAGGCGCCGCGCAGGTGACTTGCCGCCGGTTAGTAGGTTCTCTGCGGCAAATCGAACGACGTTTTATCTCAAAATTGAACGTTATCGCAAAATTCTTTGAAATCCAAGCGTAAGGAGAGTATGCGTACGAATCTCGGCACAGCGTTCCGTTCCCGAATTTTGTCCTTCGGTGAGGACAAAATTAGATGCGACGAAGCACCCGCGTGTTCTTGTGTGAAAGCACCGCTCGTGCAGCCCCCGTGCGCCTCGACAAACGTGGCTGATGCGTGCAACGCATGACTATTTTACAAGGCCGCCTAGTACACGGTACTCAACTGCGATGAGACCTGGCTTGGGAGCCTGGATGGGACCTGATCGATCACGGTCCAGAAAAGGTGGTCGTCTTCTAGTTCTCTTTTCGTTTTCCATCTTGTCGGTCGCAGGACAGACGCGTTTCACAGCTTTTCACTGACGTTGGCATTTATAGAATATTGATTTTTATCGCGCTCGTATCGCGTACTACTTCGCGTACCTTCGAATTTGTCACATATCCCATACGAAAAAGTTTCTCGGAATTGCTCGGTATCGTGAAATTGAGTGTACACTCGATCCGTGTACCTGCGAGAAAAAAAAGTTTACCTTGGATTATCCAAACACACACAGGATTGAGAAAGTTACTTTATTTGAAAAGTAATTCTAAAGTTATCGTTACCCGTAACTCGTTGAAATAAGTAAATATATAATTAGTTGCCAATTACTGAAAAAGAGCAACTGTAACAGTGACGGCGTTACATCCCAACTCTGAGAATATATCTATATATACATATCTGTTGACATGACAACTTGACAATATGCGTATGTATATACGCATGTATGTACATACGATATGTTGAAGTAAATTTTCATAGAGACTAATACGGCCTTAACTTAATAACTTAATACAACAGATACATTTACGTTATCAGGCTTTTTTTTTACTAATTTACATAATATTGCCAAACCAAAACGTATGTATTACATACAATGTATATACAACTGAGATAATATCCCGAAATTTCTCTCATTCAAGAACTTAGTGACAGATTTCCGGAAGAATGTGTAGAATGTGTAAGTGATAGGTGCATAGAACTGCTGATAGAACTCCTGAGGGAAGCAGTTTCAGTTAATGCACGCTGCCTTTAGTTATAAAGATTATATCAGACAGATGCAATTGGTTATTGAAATTGAATCTCTGCACGCGTTTACAGTAGTTATGACCTAATTAAATAATATGTAAGATGAAATTCAACTCGAATAATACTTGACGAATTTTTGTATCGGATTGCTTTTCCTTATTTTTATATAAATTTTTCTTTAAGTATTTTTTTTATATTATTGTTTCATATACTTTTTTATATTTTATAAAAATGATTTGAAATCAATCGCCAGCTGCTCTGTATTTCAATATTCATTAAAAATATAGTAACATCTGTTTTTTTATAATTAATAAATTAATCTATACTTGTTGTACTTGTTACATTTGTTATACTTGCAATGAAATAGATTTATGTCCGAGGTTCGATGAAAGCGAGAAAGAAAATTTTGGTGCGGTTCGGTGCAGCAATGAAAAAACAGACCTTGAAATTAAATTAAATTCTCGACAGCGTCGCTATATATAATACGTAACGTTTAGAAAAATAATTCATATATCAAATATATTATAAAAAAGAGATTTCTTCGAATGACGTTATCGCAGGCATTTTTTTAGCAAATTTGTTGGTTAAATTGGTTGGATTAACAAAAAATATTTTTAGATTTTGTCTTTGCACATTCGGCATATATATATATATATATATATAAATATATATATATATATATATATATATATATATA